CTTTGTTTGAGCAGTGACTTGGGGTAAGTTAGAATTCGTGAAAATCAATTCTGAAATTTGAAAATCATTTCTCACTACAGGGGAACTTTTACATGTTCTACCACCAAGTACAAAATTACTTATATGGGTGCCTTTATAGTCCCAGATAAGCTGAATCAAATTAGGTTCTTATCTGATTCATGGGAGGCCCAAATCAATGTTTGGAAGTTTCACTGATAACACCTTTTTCTTCTTCTCTTTTACGTCAAGGTTCCTGGTAGCTTTGCCATACATATATACACCATTTCCACTTTTGCTTCTTCTAGTATATATTAACTTTCTATTAACTTTTTTTATGTTCTTTTTATATTTTTAAGCAAAGTCAGCAGATTCTTCACAGTGGATTCAAATTTGAGGTCCTCAGAAACTACGGTTTTGAATTTTGTTTACTACAGTTTCAGTTTTGTTTGTGAAAAGATAGATAAATAAATAAGTAGTAAAACATAAAAAAATGCGATTTGTTTATTTATACCACTATATCTTGTACATTTTACTGAGCAAATATTAAAGATTAGGGGTGTATGTGTGTCTATGAAATATTTACATAATTGGTTCACGTGAAGAAGATATAATTGATTACACTAAACTTAAATATTTATCCAGGGTGAATGAATAAAGGGTTAAATTATTAAACTTATGATTGGATCACTGACTGGCGGACCCAGGGGTGGGCCTGGGGTGCATGTGCCCCTCAAGTCCTCAACTTTGCCTTTTTAAAAAAAAAAAAAAATCTATGTTTTGTTTCAATTTTCTAAATCATTATAAGAAATCGAAATATTGCATTCTTAATATCATTTCGAAGTGCTCACAGTCTAGTTTTTATATCGTTAACGGCGTTCGAAAAGACTAACCGTAGCAAATGTTACAACTTGTCAAAGTAGGCGATTTAAAATTAGTATTTCGAGAATTTCGATAACAAGCAACTTTAAAAAAATTTCGACGATCGTACGGTAGTCGAATCTACAAATCGTTTATTTCATCTCAAAGCTCATTTCGAGGACTACATTATAGGCATATCGAATAGGTCAAATAGAAATCGAAAATAGTTAAAGATGCGTCAAACGTACGCCTTAAAAAGAGGCGTCTAACTCGCATTTTTTAAAAAATTTTAATTATTTCATTAACATTTATTATTTTGTGATACAAATTTCTCAATGTAATTTTTATTATTTTATTAGGAAATTTATATGGAATAAAACATCAAAAAATTTCGAAATTTTTCATCCGAAAAAGTCATATTCCATGTAAATTTTCGGATGCAAAATTACATGGGGTATGATTTTTTCGGATGTAAATTTTCGATTGTAAAATTTCTCCCAATTTTTTTGCAAGTTCGATTGTGCTCCCCTAACTTTAATTGTCTGTGTCCGCCCCTCGATTGGATCATAAATTAATTATTCTATTCCAACAAAAATTTTGGGCTTGGTGATCTTAGATCTTAGCTCTTTTAGTTATCAACGGAACTTAAAAGTTTAGTTACTTATGACTTACACCTAGTAAGTCGAGTTCCCTCAGTTTGAGTTTTTGGGTCATTAAATTCACACGTTTGCCTTGAGAGAGTCGAAGAAATTGAGTGGTTAACTGTGCCTCCTCGTGGGAGCAAAGAAGACAAACATTGTCTCGAGGTTAGATGTAGAGTTTTATATCTAATTGCATCACAATTTGCAACTAATATTTTCATAGGTGATACCTTGCAATCCGTGGTTTTTTTCCTGTGGAGCTTTTCAGTTTGTCATTAATAAACAAATATATCCTCGCATGATTTGTACTGTTTTACTAGTATTATCGGCTAATTTTGCAATCTGTTACTGACTTAGGAAGCTGTTTCAGCTGGCGCAAAGTTGCTTTGCTTTCCTGAGAATTTCTCCTACATGGGTTACAAATCTGGGGACAGTCTTAAGATTGCTGAATCATTAGATGGACCAGTTATGACTAAATATTGTTCTCTTGCAAGGTAGAATAATCCTGACTGTCAGTTGAATATGACATGGTCTTGCTTTACCATATCAATGGGCTATGTTATTAAGTACATAGGCTTATTTTCATTTTCCTTCAGCTTCATATCATTCTATCCCCTCTTCATACATTTTTCATCTGGTTGATCCTACCCTAACATTTCAGAAAAGAGAAAAAAAGGTAGTCTCTACTTTTTCCCAGTCACTGTTATGTAAGGATGCCTAATCAAAGAGTAATGCTAAATCAGATGGTTATTTATAGTTTGCTTGTTCATAAACTCTTCCATGGAAATACAAGTTTGTTCTTACCACTTGTAGATCACGTGAGTCAAATAATCTATTATCGCCACATCATTGTGCATTAAAAGTATGTTTATCTGAACTTTTAGGTCAAATGACACTCCTATTGTCATAAATTGCAGGGAGTCAAACATTTGGTTGTCACTTGGTGGATTTCCGGAAAAAGGATCTGACGATGTACACTTATGCAACACTCACGTATTGATTGATGATGCTGGGAACATAAGAAGCAAATTTAGAAAGATGCACTTGTTCGAAATTGACTTTGGCTCTGATTAACTTCATTTCAGTTTGGCATTATGCAATTATCATGATTCCATTTATTCATAAAATTCATGATCTTTTCTGCTCATTATAATTTTATATTGTTTATTCATATAGGACTCTCTAACTAGGTATTCTGTATATCTGAAGGTTTGATGTTGATGTGCCTGGAGGTGCTGTTTACAAAGAGAGCTGCTTTACGGAAGCAGGTAGTGCTCTATTCTCTTAAGATCCTGCAAAAACTAGTTGATGATTATTTGTCCTCTAATATGTTAGCATCCATTTCAGTTTATATGCTGAGCATATCTAACATACCTCTTAATTTACCTGCATATATCACTGCCTAAAAGTACATTAAATGCAACTTCAGTCCTAAGAGAGTTTGGACATTTTTGTGGTGCGGATTGAACTAAACTCTCTTTCTTCCCCCATTCATTTTATACTTCCTAATACCTAAATGATAGTTCTGCTTATTGTAATCTGGGATTTGGTAGTGGAGCATGAAAAATTTTCATGCATCTATGCAAGACATTAACGTTTAGTGATTAACTTCTACAGGAAACGATATTGTTGCAGCTGACAGCCCGTTTGGACGCCTAGGTCTAACAGTTTGCTATGATTTGAGATTCCCTGATCTTTATCAGCAGCTGAGGTTCCATCATGATGCACAGGTTGAAGCGAGAGTTTTTACATCCTGATGTGCGGATATGAGATTATCTTTGACTTATTTCTTTGCTACGAAATTGTTACACCTTCATTTCCTTCCTGTAGGTTTTGTTGGTGCCTGCTGCTTTCACAAAAGTGACCGGTCAGGCACATTGGGAGGTTCTGCTTCGTGCGCGTGCCATTGAAACTCAATGTTATGTATGAAAGCTTGATTTCATCATGTTATCTCTAATTTCCTCTAAATTTTTTGTCCTGTAGACATCCTCATATTCATACTATTAGTTGAGGTCCAATTTTATGGCTTGCAAAATTATTCTTCAAATATACCTAATAAATGGCCTTATTATATGGTTTGTTGGTAAAATGTATCTAGGAATTTCCCTGTGATACATTTTTGTTAATGTTCTGTTTATACTCAAATGTTATACTATTTTTATACTCAGTGCATCACTTAAATATTTCGCATGAATGATACTTCTGGTCAAAAGTAAGGAAGTAAATTTAGATTACCTTCCATCTTGAAAAATCGACACTGATCATCTGAGCTTTGGATCTAAGCTATTTTATATCTTAAAACTGATTGGGAATCGACTATTGATCTGTGAGAACTCTAGGTTGCCTAATCGAGGTTCTGATTTAGTACCACTAGTTTATTTTGATATAACCATTCAAGAATAAATTTGTTAATTTCGTGACGTGCTCAACACACATTATTCCAATAGGACACAAGTTTTTCATGCAGAAAGAAATGGTTGTCAACGTTAAGATCATGTCCTTGAAAATGAAAAACCTTGCAAAAAATGGATTGGCCTCGGCGGTTTACCTCCAAGAAATTGGTGATTTTGCACTTTTCCTTGCTAGAAAAGCAAAGAGACATTTAACCTCCTAGAATCAATAAATTATTGGCGACTTATTTTATTTATTTACCTGCTCCAATGAGTATCCCACCATAACTTATTTTTCTGATATCCAAAATATCTAATTTCATTATTCATTTGGTTTAGAGTTGACTGATTTATCTCAGTTTCTTCTTGCCTAATCTATTTTTATTTTGACAATCATGAATATTCTCAGGTCATAGCTGCTGCACAAGCTGGGAAGCATAGTGATGAAAGAGAAAGCTATGGCGACTCCATGATAATTGATCCATGGGGTACAATTATTGGACGGTTACCAGGTCAGAACTATTTCTATTTTACCTTGCGGCACTTCACTTATTTCAACTAGCCATCCCCTCCCCCCTCTCCTTTCATCAATAGTTTGAATGTAGTATTTTTTTTCTCCAACTTGTATTATGGAAATTGATTGAATGCAAATTAAAAACCATACTTAATCTGTTTTCTGTTCTATAAGATTTAGGTTGTTAAATGGGCCGAGCCGAACCATCCGGCTCGCCCACTGGCTGGCTTGTGGCTATGTGGTTTTTTTTTAAGGGGGAAGAACTGAAAATTGCACTTTTGCTTCCCGAAGTATAACAAAGGTATAAATTTGTAAGGACATTGTAAACGTAAAAAAATATTTTTCATCAAAACAATTATGAAGTTAAAACCCTTCTCCTTTATGTAGGTTTAGGACTGACTACAATACGTATGTGGAGTTAAAACTATAGATGAGAGAGTATTTCGTGTACAATTTTTGAAGACAAATGAAATTTCAATATACAAATTACAGTCACGGTACCAAACATTTCATTTAATAGTAGACTTTGCCCAAATAACCTTCAAAAAATTCGCAGATCAAGTCCAAAATGACAATTTCCGTCAGTTTCACTACCAAAACTGTCAGTTGACTCTCAAAATAAAAATCTTCATTATTTTCTCCAAATAAGGCATGGGCATTTTGGACAAATCACATTTCCCTTATTAAATCAAAAAATAAAAAATAAAGCTACAACCCATCCCATCTCCTTCTTCCCCAAAACCAAAACCACTCTACCCAACCACCATCGTCACCACCTTTGCCACCAGAATCCCCCCAGTCGGCGGTAGCACAACCACACCATACTCCAACAAACAATCGATCCAAACCACCAGTTTAGACTCAAAAATCGATGCAAAATAGCTACGGTTTTTGCCCCCAACACCAACAGAAATTGTCACTTCCGACAACACCCATGGCTGTCAACCACCACCGTTCACCTTACCTCGTCTAGGCGAACATTTTGATTGATCAGCACCATCAAAATAGCCCTAAAAAACTTGTGCAATTTATGTGAAAAAAAACGTATAATTCAGACCTATTACGAGGTAGCCACACCCATATCAATTGACGGGTCCCATTCTATTTTTCCATCCAATGTTCAACACCATTATATGACCGGTTTGCAATCAATTGAACCATTGCATCCCTCTATTCAATTTTGCAGTCAAAACCAGCCCCAAAACAGACAGGCTTTCAAGATGTTAATTCTCTACTTTCTGTTGGGACCCACGCCACAACAACCTCTCCATTAGATTCAGAATCATCAAAAACCCTTGTGGTAGACCCACATTGCTATTGGTGACTTCCTTATGAAAATTGGTGATGCCAGCATTAGGTGGGTAGTGGAGGCGGTTGGGTGGAGTTGTTTTAGTTTTGGGGATGAAGGAGATGGGGATAAGTTGTGGTTTTATTATTATTATTTTCATAGGTTAAATGTGGTTTGTCCAAAATGCCCCTACCTTATTTGGGGAACATAATGAAGTTTTTTATTTTGGGAGTCAACTGACGGTTTGTTAGTCAAACTGACGAAAATCGTCATTTTGGACTTGAGATGCGAATTTTTTAAAGGTTTGGTACTCACGGCGGCACAAATGAAATGTTTGGGCAGAGTCTGCTATTAAATGAAAAGTTTGGTACCGTGACTGCAATTTTCTACAATAATAAATAAAAAAATTAGTGTACTAAAAAAATCCATGAAAGTTATAATTGGTGAAAATCTTCAACAATTGCATTAGCATCTTGCCTTGTATTAAGTAGTTTAAAACTATTGAATTACACACTCCATATGATTAAACATTGAGTTCCAGAATAACTTTATTGGCGTTTTTAATATCTTGACCAGATGATACATGAAACGAAATGTAAGTGCTATTGATAGGTAATCAGTGATGGTGATTTTCTTGGTCAATGTAACATAATGTCAACTCTGACACACGGTCTATGGTATATTTTATTGTTGTTTCAGATCTATTGTCTACTTGTACTGCTGTTATGGCTATTGACTTTTCGTCTATGGTATGTTTTGTTGTTTCAGATCGACTGTCTACTGGTATCGCTGTTGCAGATATTGACTTTTCATTAATTGATTCAGTGAGATCAAAGATGCCAATAGCTCAGGTGAACATCATATTTTTGATATCCATGAATTGATCTTGCCATCCACAAACATATAGCCCATCCTGCTTGCCTACTTAATCATTTGCATGACTTTAAATTGTTCTTCTCGGTCCAGTGTGCTCATCACATGCTTTACTAGTTGTACATTGTAAGTTTCAACCTTCTTGTCTATGCTAGAGAATGTTTGGCTTAGACAAAATAAATAAATAAAAAGTGAAGTAATTAAAAGGAAAACTAAGGTCTGTTTGATTTAGATTTTTTTTAAAGTAAATTTTGTGAAAATTGATTTTTTGGGAAATGTGGTTTAAAAGCGGGGAAAAGTTGTGGGTCCACGTGCAAAATTATTTTATTGGGAGAATGTGTAGCTGAAAATGAGTTTTAAATAATGTATCGAACAGGATCTAAATTTTGGAACTTAAAATTACTTTTACATTTTTATGGCAGTTGGAAAGAAATGTTACTTAAAAGTAAATTATAAGTTGGACATATGTTTGGTTAAGCTTAAAAGTTACTTTTATGTACTACTACTTTTTTAGCCTCAGTCAAACGTGCTAATGCATTTTGCTCCAACATTGTTATATAACTTGTATGGTTTTTCTTCTCAGCATCGGAAGCCAATAGAATTTTGGACAAGCAAACAGTAGCACACTTGGTTTCAATTCTGTCAATTTCTCTTGGAGGGTTGCAACTTTGATGGGAATTGCACTAGTAGACTCTCTTTTGGCACCAAAACACTTGTATGAGATTCTTACTGCTGTTATTCTTCTTCTGGGTAAAATATGTGGTGCTTTCTTGTCTTTGTATTATAAAACTAAAGATAATTTCAATAATGATGAGGATAAGTTATACAAATCCTATTATATAATTCTTTTAATGGGAATGATCTCTATTGATGTGTATGTAGAGGTGTAAAATGGAACAGTCCACCTAGGCAGGGGCTTGACATGGTCCCTTTTATGGCAGCTGGACAACCATCTTTACACCTCTTTGTGAGTGCATGCGCACTAGGTATCTTAACTGAAATCACTGAAGTGTTGAACGCATAGCCTTGGTGTTTTCTTTGTTTTTTATCAATAACTGCAGTAGTATTTATTAATTTGAATTTGATAAATAATCTTAACTTCTAACTTAGATAATTTGATAGTGTAGATCTTAAAAACCTTTATTTGAGTGTGTTTGAATGTGGGTATAGTAATTTTATAAGTTTTAGTAGATCTAAACTATTAGATTAGCTTAAATTAATTATTATGATTATTTATCAAGTTTATTTGTCGAATTCATTGGTAAGAACTGTGAAAAATGAATGTATGAACATAAAATCAGGCCTAAAAGTATGATTTTCTAGGAGGATTTTTTATGCAACATGATTGTTGTTGCCTACAATATGCTTCTATATAATAATGACTTATTCAGATAACTTGAATAAATCTCTTAGAGAGAGAGAGAGAGAGAGAGAGGCTTTCTGAATGAATACCAGTAAAATTTAAAATAAGAAAAAGAATTAGAAAGAGAAAAACACAGTTGTTCTCACATCAAACATAAAATTTTAAAATATTGTCGTTTCCCTTCCCCTCGCCACAGATTAATTTACAAAGAGGGAAACGGATGCACCAATGGAGGACATATGCCTTGCCATCATAAATGCAACTAAAGGAAGAATTGCAAAAATAAATATAAATTTGGAGATACTACCTATATTAGGTGAAACAAGTATGTGGAATAAAACGTAGACATTCTCTACAACTCTCCTGTTGAAGAGCGGGAAAATGAATATGAAGCCTGCAAACCATTGTTAAATGTCGAAAGCAGATGCATTTAGAATGTTTTCATGGTTAAATGCTAGGCAAAAAAGTCTCAGGTCTTTTGCTAACAGTTACAAAATACAGGGGAAAATAAAAATGCCAGAGCCCATGGCATCACAGTTACTGTAAAGTTGATAAACAATCCCAATACTGTTTTATTTCACAGTTGCTATGAGAGACGCTTCAACAATCAAAAGAAAACAAAACCAACCCAAAGAAAGAAACCTATATATATATAAACTGCTATGGCTGGTCCAGTAAAAGAAGCTAAAATCATGTCCATTATAGTTTTACATCATTGCGTACCAAATTGCTCTAAATTACGTACATCGTCATTTCAACTTGAATTCCCCCAATTCAATACGAATCATTCATCATGCCAGTAGAAAGTCTCGAGTAGAATCTGGACTTGCAAGAAGATCAAAAGGTTTGCCTATGGTGTCTTTCAAAATAGTGATTTGGCCTTCTTTCAAGAGTATATCTTCGTCGAGGGTCTCTATCTTCTTTTTCAACATATTGATCTCAGAATTCAGTAACATGTTCTTCTCACTATATTGCTTAATCTCCTCCCACATTAAATCCCTCTCTTCGGATACTTTTGGTAGTATTCCCCCTGCAATTGTCAGTTCTTTCTTACATTCTTGCAAATCAGTTCGAAGTTGATTAATAATATCATCCTTCTTCATCATCTGCAAACAAGAAGAAAAATTAACATGGAACCAATAGCGGATAACTGAGGGCAATGTTTCCGAAATTTGAAAGGCAAAATTGGTCACATTAAATTTTTGCCAATTCAACATATTGCTGAGAGTCTGCACAGTAAATGAGACCAGTGTTCATTCCAAAAAATATCAAAGAGTTTGGACAGAAATGAGAATACTCAATATTTTATTAAATATTCAATTATTTCAGCGACCCTGGTATATCTTAAGTAAGCTACTTGCAACTTCGCCTCGAATTTTGCTCAGAAGCCCATTTATGCATGGAAAAGTAGGGTCATCTCATTTCAACTCTGTTAACCAGAAATTGGGTTAGTTAACCAAATTGGAATAAAATATATTTGGGCCTTGTGATGTTCCTCAAAAGCTATGAAGACCCATTCCTTGGCCTTATGATGGTCCCCAATTCTATGTAGATCCAATATTTTTGGGCCTTGAAATGTTTTTTAACCTCTGTGATTTATGGGATAAAAATTTTAGCTGAGCTAATTGTACCTCTTGCATCACAATTACTTCTTCGTTTCTTTCTTTTTTTTGGTATTATATAGAGGATGAAATCTGCTACATAGTTATACAGGCTATAAATCATATAATTCTTTCTCTGTCATGTCGTCAAAGTGTAATTGTCAAGTTACCTGTCACTATAAGGGGATTTAGATAATTTTTTTCGTACAGGGAGTATTTAAAGACCTAAGCACGTGAAGTTTACAAGTTCTACTGCCGCTATGCATCGTTTCCTCCATTTAATCCATCTCTGCCATTTTCTTAAGTACATGTTTATAACAATTCTGTCAGATATAATATTTGCACATGAAGACCTTTACAACGGATCAAAATGCAATCAGATAACAAATAAAACCATAAACAGCACTGCAAAGAGTACGATAAGCTCATAGATGAGAACATATAATGTTGCCTGTTGCAGAAGAAATAATATTAGTTTGAACTTACCTGAATTTCAAGATCTTTCATCTTGTGGTTTACACAAGAAAAATTATCCAATGCATTTTCCACTTCGCATTTGAGTATGTCATTACCTCTGACAGCTGCAGCCAGCTCAGCTTGAAGTTGCTCCACATCGAGCTCTTTGGAATAAAGCTTCTCACGCAACAAACTTGTCAATAAGGTCTCTGCTTTTAACTCGGATCGCATTATCTCCTACGCAAGATATACAGATACTTACAAACTGGTTTTGAAAACAAAACAAGCAAGAGTGAAAATTAAGCCCCTTTTGATGCCCATTAGAAAGAGTTTTTTTGAGAAATGAGTTTTGAAATAATGATATTTTTGAGAATATGTGGTTAAAAAGCAGGGAATAAGTTTTGGGTTTACGTGCAAAATATTTACTGTAAGAATTTATAGTTGAAAATGAGTTTTAGAAAAAAGAGTTCTTGAAAAATGGTAGAGAAAGGAACTAAATTTAAGTATGGGACAAAAATAAAAAACAAAGGAATCAATAAACCTCTGATTTTCGATCATCTAGTTTATATGACTCGTCATCTAGTCTGGATGATTGAGTTTCCAGGGTAACTGGGCCAAGTGTGTCATGCAACTTCGTGGATTTTGCATACAGCACACTGGAGACTGTCTGCACACTCCTTGTCAAGTTTTCAGTGGCCCGCTCAAAACCTTGAAGCTTCACTTCACATTCAAGAATAAATTGGCAATCTAAACCTGTCTCAGATCCATGTCCACTTTTCAGTGTGCGTCTTTCATTGGCTTTTATATATTCAAGTAACTTCCTAGAAAGTTGGTTGTTCTCCATAAGAGACGGAAGCACTTGATTTAGCAAGCAGCTAATACGATTCTGTAGTTCTTGATCTAACTTAAAAGTTAAAGTTGCACCATCTTTCCCACCGTTTTTCAGACGATTCAGTAGATCTATGTTCTCACGCCTAAGTGAATCAACTTCAAGTCTGTAAGATTGCACCTCCTTTCTCAGGGCATGCTCCACTCCGGTCAATCTCATATGTTCCACTTGCAGCTTTGCAAACTCGAAATCACAGTTCTCTAAAGAAACTTTCTTCCGAAGATCTTCACAAAGCCCCCGCAATCCATCGATTGTTTTCTCTTGATCTCTACAGGTCCTTTGCAGTCTACTGATGGATCTGTGCATATCCTTGCACTCAACAGCTTTCGCCTCATAGTTTCTTCGAAAGCAATCTCGATCTTCTTCTGCTGCTCTAAATTTGTCTTGCAGTTCAATAAGATTTTTCTGTAAATATTGCTTTTCCTCTCTAGCTTCATTGACTTGAGTGGTTATGCTTTCAAGCTGTCTCTCTGAATTAGTAATTCTGGTTCTAGTATCCACTTCCCTTTCACTGAAGGAAGATACTTCCCTTTGAAGGGAAACATTTTGCTCTGCGAGCTCCCTAACCCTCTCTCGAAGCCTATGCTCTTCAGACTGATATTTTTCAAGTTTGTGGGACCACTCAATTGATCTCCTGTCCAATTCCTTTTCAAGTGCCAACTGCAACTCATGCTTTTCCTTCTCCAATCTCCGGGCCTGTGTGCTTGACTCTTCCCTTGCTAGTTTGAGCTCTTCCCTAAGTAAGGCCTTTTCAGCAATCCGGTCCTGTAGGACAGCTGAAACTTCTATGGCCATTTTTACCTTTTCCTCTGTCAGGCTTTTAATTGTCTGAATCAACACTGGCACATTGCATCCTCTGACTTGAAAAAAGTTTTCCCGCTCGAGTTCTTCTGAAAGGTATGCAGCGCGGTCATCAGCTTCCTTGGATTTTCTAAAAAGTTCAGTATCTGTATCATCAATAGCCTCCAAATTTAGTGCAAACCCATCTTTACCACTGAAAGAAGTCTCTTTCTCTGAGAATCCTAAAGTTTCTTCATGATGGTATCCATCAGTAGTCTCTGGATGCCTATCTAATGTGCAGTTTTTTGTAGAAACTTCATCAGAATACGCACTGGAACTTTCGTTGAAGGTTCTGCTATAAATATCTTCAATAGTGATTGGGGTCTCCGAGTCATATTCTTTTGACCTAATCTTAGACAAAACTCGAGATTGGGTAAGTCTCTCGACCACATTCTTTGCAAGTTTTCTAGGGGATTCACGGCAAAAGCCATTCTCCTCCCAATCTCCAGATGACAACTGAAGCTGAGATAATTTTGCTTCTCTGAAGGATTGAGACTTTGGTTTCTGCTTCCTGCCATCCTTTGGTGAAATAGGTGCAGTACATTGAACTCTTGGTGGCCGCATTCTCCCAGAGTTGCCATTGTCAATGTGATTTCTCGTGGAAAAGTGGGTCATTGAAGCACTCGTATCCATCTGTTGTTCTCCATCGATGTAACGATCCAAAACTTTATTCGATACGTTACTGGAGCCATATGAAGAGGCCTCAGATATGTCAGAATGTTCTCGCATTGCAACGCTATCTGATTTCCCTACTCTCTGCTCATTTCGAACCATACCCAGTTCAAAAAAATTTGTCCTGGATTGTCTCTCAGGAGTTGGAGTAAGACAACTGAAGAAATAAAAATTGCAACAATCAAGGCCAAAAGGAAAAATGTTTACACTGCCACGGCTTGGAAAACCAATATCACTTAAAGCCATGATAACAGCGTTACAAATTGCTTACCGGGTGGAATGTTGACCAGATTGCTTGAGTGAATTACTGGTACTACGAGGTGAGCCACCTTGATCGGCAAAATTCCCATAGTGTAGGGCTCCAGATGAATATGAAAGGCTTCTTCTAAGACAAGGAGCAGTACCAAAAACCTGATTTTCCGAGCCCTGTTTGTCTTTTCTGGGCTTGTTAATACTTTCTGTTGGTCTCTCCCAGTAGACTTGCTTATCTGTTGATGGCGGTGAGACTTGATTACTGTTTTTACCGTTAGATGCATTTGATCTAAATGAAAAAAGCTTCTTCATCTTTATGTCTTCAGCTCCAACCACTAATATTTATCATGAGAATTGTCAGTAGATCCATATAGAAAAAAATATAGGAACATTTACATCGATTGCTACGTGCAACATATGATACCACATGCAAATCTAGACATCATTAAAACAAAATAGCTCTACCAACTTCCATATAGATCAAGAAAACACCAGTTGTAGGCCAGAAGATATACATATGAGAAGCACAGCCAGAAACATACAGGTGTATCCTAAAAAAAACATCATTTTCATCAATTATAAAGTTTCAGAACAAGGAGACATTATCGCAAGAAGCAATGTAAAATATCTAGTTCTCATAACCTATTAGCATACAATATTTCTTTCTTGAATCTGAACTGCACCATGAAGCAACAGAGAAAATGCAGAAGATATTATAATCTCCACACCCAGCAAAACATAAAACAATTAAACTGGAAAGTGCAATAAAAATAGGCTTAAACAGCTTGATATGTTCACAACCTGTTAACTCCCTGCTACTACAGTAGTAACAGAACAATATGTGAGCTAAAAAACTGAAAAGCATAGTTCAAAATAATTAATTAATTTTTCTGCAAAGTGCAGCATTGATTTGAGTGACCTTTACCTTTACTAGGAATCATGAGACTCCTCTTGTGAAAAATATAATTAATCAATGTGTTTCTCACTCATGATTAGAAAAGTATTAGGGACAAGATGATTCCTGGGTCCTAAAGACCATCCTACCCTCAATTCTTCACATCAACCTTGTCTTTGTACACTAAAACACCGCCTGAACTTTTTCAAGAGTGTCTTGGGTTGTGTTTACAAGTTACTTATTTCAACAAACGAACTTAAAAACACGTTTTTCTAGAAGTAGCTTTTAAGCATGACCAAACATCCCCCTCGTGAACAACATGTCAATTAACATAACAAGATCTGTCACTTTGCATAGAAGAAACGAAAATCTAAAACCCTTTCCATTTCAAAAAATAAAATCACACAAAACAAGAAAGATTAAGAAAATAACTGTAAATTGAAAACCATTTCAGGTCGGTAAATTTTTTATCTTAAATTAAATATAAATCCCCAGATTGTTTCCAGAATATAATATCTCTTGAAATTTATCCAACTCCAGAGCAAAATCACATTGCTAAAACCCTACAGAAATTGCATTAAAGAGAAGAAAAACAAAGATTAAAATAGAGACTCACAAATTCATTAGCCGTACAGGGAAAAAAACAATGAAAAAAGAAATCCCAAGATTGTCTTCAAGAGAAGAAGAAGAAGAAGAAAGAGGAAATTGCGTTTTTTCTTGAAATTATCGAACTCCAGTAAAACAGAATCATCTTTATCAAACCATAAAAAAACACGTTAAATTAATGAAAAAAGTTTTTAAAATAAGAACTCACAAATTGCTACTTTTTCTCTCCCAGGGATAAGCAACGAAGTGACCGTTAGAGACAAAAATTTCAGGGGTATAAGAAGGATAGACACAGCAAAACCAAACTTATCTGATTAATATTTCAAATATCTAATTTAATGAATCGAATCAAATTATCATTTTCAAAGTAAAAAAATTCAACGCTACAGGCTGTACACCAAATACAAGTCTAAATATATTCAAACAATTTCAAATTCAAAAACGAAAAAATAAGAAGAACTTCCAATTAACGTATCCCGAAATCCAAGGAACGCCGCATGTATTAAATTTAAAGACAAAATCACCATCAATAAATTTCGATGTAATCACACATATTTCCATATATACACATGATTACGTATATACACATTAGAGAGAGCATATAGAGTGAGTGAGGGAGAGTGAAGAACCTCAAATGGCGGCTGATTAATGTGAAAATTGTTGGCTGAAATTTCGAGAAATTGGAAAGAACGAAGCCATAGAGAAGGGAAAAAAAAAAAACAAAGCGTTTCCTTTTTGTGTTGAACTTGATAGCACTAACTGAGTGTATGATTAGATTAAGAGGAGGATTAATGAAAATGATAGGGGTAAATTTGTCAAATGATAAAAGTTTAAAATTTCGATGCCGCGTAGAAGGCGGAAGATTTTTCTTTTTTTGTGTGTGTGGGCCACGGCCTCAAAACATTTTTTCTTGCTGGGTCACCAATCTTTGAGCCCTGCGGCGATAAGATCTCAGCCTTCTATTTGTGACACCTCAGGTCCCCGACTTACGGAAAAAGTATGCTACCGCCATCCTTAGCTGATGACAAAGTCAAATGTTCAAAATTTAATTTTTGCAGAAAACAAACTACCGAAACCTTAGTTTAAATCGGTTGTGCTACAAGTACATAACAAATTTACATAATAATTTAAATACACGCGATGTGATGACATATGATTGGATCAAAATTTATTCAACCAAATAAAAAAAAAACTTCTTCACTCTATTTTTAACACTTCGTCCGTATGAAAAATATTATATAATTGCTTATGTACAAATAACATTATTCTGTTTAAAAATAATAACAAAATTATTTTCTAACTACTTAAACATAGTCTACACGTTGTGTGGATAATTTAAAAAATGCTCTTAAATTAAGAGCATGTCTGGTGAAACTATTTCACCCAATTAAAATCATTTTTGTGGCCGTTACATATCATTTCAGCAGCCTTTTTTGACTGTTTGTGAGAGAAGGGGGGCCCACCAATGGACTTTAACGGTAATATTAATGCTTAAAATCTGAAAATAATCCTTACCAGACATGTTCTAATTCATAAAGATGTATTTATCTCATATCATTTTTTTCTTATACAAAAAAAAAAATTTATAATAGGTTGTCTATATCCTTTTGAGTTAATAGTTTGCTTGTTAATTACAGCATGCATTTTCAAAACTAATAACAATGAAAGATGCTACGGGCACAGGGTGAAAAACATATTCAAACATAGGTGCGCCACGTGTCGACGCACGATTGAACAGTTTGAAAAATAAAAATAAAAACACTCAATTAACACTTGTTACATCACCCTGTGTTTTTCCTATTCTGTTTTTAACTCTGGACAAAAAGAATAATTGAAATTCAATAGAACGATGGCCTTTTAATTAATATTTGACATTTATTATTGATGATGTGATGTTGACGACAATAATCCGCAAAGAGAAATAGGCAATGATGGGGAATGGCGGTAGGTGGATTCGGTTGGGTTGGGAAGAAAATGTTAATTGAAATAAGGATGTAATGATTATTTTAAACAAAAGTAAGGACGTAGTGGTTATTTTAAACGAGATTTGACTTTTTAATAGTCAAAATATAATTTATGCTAGCTAAAGACGATATTAGCACACTTTTCATTGGTTATTGACTTTGAGCGCTGCAAGGTCAAAAGTTGGGAGCCCCTGTTGGAATATTCCCGTTTAATATACGGTCGATAACATAGTTATATCTTTCCCCGGTCTTCTTTCGAAGGATCGCATTCCTAATCCGGTAGGGGCGTACGGATTTGTTTTTCCCATCTTGGCAAATCGCATCCACACACGACATAAAAGGGATCGTGGAAAGTGATGTACGACTCTTGTTGTAATCAGATTAATTTAAATTTCTCTTCTTTTATTTTTATACTTATTAGTCTTAGAGATAAAATACATTTATCTAAAATTTGGAAGCTAAAATCACACATATATTTGGTCGTGTGACGCTTGGCTTAATAATGTTTTTATACATTGTTTTTAAAATTTAAAACTTTCTCCCTGTTAATAACTTATAATAATCTCTATGTTGCTTAAAGAATACTTCATTTGACTTCTGTTTAAAGGGTTTCAATGCCATGGCATAATGACATAGGCAGGCGAAATAATTTGGGATCTTTTCGAAAATAATTGTAAAAATAAATTTAAATGAAAAAAAAAAACTTAAAAGAATCATTGTGTTGTCGTTAATACAAACGAAATTATCGACTACAATAACTTTAGTAATCATCGACACATGTTCGTCAACAATTACTGGTCATTAATGTCATCAACGGTACTTCGGTCGGTAATCACTAATGAAAAAATACTTAACTTCTTCATTTTTTTATTTTTTTTAATATTATCACTAACTTAACTTCTAGTATTACAATATCTTAAAAGAATATAATTTTTTAAAATTATGACATTCAGTTTAATTTTATTTATTTATTAATAAATGCAATATTTTAGTTCATCAATTTAACGATTTTGCTAATAAAATAATTTTTAGTTCAATAATTTAAAATAAATTTTGGTGTAAGACTATCTTCAATGGTTACAATAAATTTCGTATAATCATTGGAGATTTTACATCAAAATTGCACTAAATTTGATGTAAAATTACACTGAATATGGTGTAGACTATTGAAGATGATCTTAGCAAGCGTCATCAAATTAGATGCAAAGGAATCCATCGAGATCGTAGGTCTCTTGCAAAATGCTTTTGCAACACACCTACGATGAGCCATTTAGAACTCTCGTGGTTCAATCACTAGATGCTTGCACGTGATTTTTTTTGGGCTTGGCTCATTCCACAATTCGTCTTGGGAATGAGTCTCCTCAATCCCATCCCTATCTAAATTGTTAAAAATGCACTGATTACATCCAAAGAATAACACGATAATAGTACAACAGCTTTGGGACGTCAATTCTACACGGAGATAGTTAAAAATACTTAGGTCCAAAAGGTGAATGTTCTTTTGAATGTATGAAAATAATTTTATTTATTTGAATGAAAATAAAATCAAGTTTTGAAATAGTAAATCGTCATGATTCCCTCGATTAGATTGGTTCATTCAACATTGATGGTTTATTCTCATAACTCAATTAGAGATGCGCAATCTAGTTTCTCTAATTGGTAGAAATGTCGTTAAAATTAATTTAATTCAATTGTAATTCTAAAGATTAACTCTCCTGCCATAACTTTCATACTTTTGTTTACTAAAATAATATTTTAAAACAATCATATACTTGAAGCATAAAGTGTTGGAAAAAACTGGAAAAGTAGACTAGATGCTTGCACGTGATTTTTTTGGGGTTTGGCTC